CATAGATGTATATAGCCAGATGCACATGCAGTAGCTGGAACAAGTTGGTATATTATAAATAAATTGGATATCAGGTGTTGAATGAAAGATATTCTGCTTCGTTTTGAATAGTATATTAATGGAAAATTGGTACAAATGAAATACTAACTGATTACGTTCATAATTTAAATCGACAGCCACCACGGTCACTCATGAATTTCGTCGTAAGATATCGTCCAGATGAACAACCATCGTTGAAGCCACATCATGACAGTTCAACTTACACCATCAACATTGCTCTAAACAGGGTGGGAATGGATTATGAAGGTGGAGGTTGTCGATTTATCCGTTATAACTGTTCTGTTACGGACACAAAACCAGGATGGATGTTGATGCATCCAGGAAGATTAACTCATTATCACGAAGGACTACGAGTTATCAGTGGCACAAGATATATCATGATTTCATTCGTCGATCCCTAATCGATATTATCGACATTAGGAACACGATAACTGAACGTATAGAGAATGTTTAACTGACTTCTTATACTTGTGAATCTGTCACATAGTATTATTAGTTTGAAACTTAAACTGCCGATGCGAACAAAATGTGCATTTAAAAAAGATAAAGCTCTTGTATCGATGTTATTTTTTTAATGTAAGGAGAATATTCGAAATAGTTAACTTTAAGTGTTTGTATGGAAATAAAATGTTGAGTCGCACTTGTATTTAATATTATTACAACATGGCCATTAGTAAATCAGATTTAATTTCTGTCCCTTTTTTATTATTATTATTGTTATTATTATTATTAAAAACTTGCTTTTTAAATTATTTACATCTTACGATTTCTACATAATTATTTTTACATTTTAATTTCAACACGAGAACTTGTTTTCCTTTTTTTATTATTTTAAGCTGTTTTTAAATAATGTTATATATATTCTAGTGGAATTACACACGCCACACTGTTTAAAAAAAAAAGCATTTTCTCATTTCAGACTTCACGTATCTACACAATTATCATGTATATTACAATATTAGGAACATTCGTAGGATAAGTAATTAGATTAACATCACTGAATAGCAAACTTTGAAAAATCGATTTTAATCATATTCCCGCACATTTATTTACATAGTAAAAAAAAGTTTTTTGTTAGAGTAATATTGATGCAATTGTAGTATGTCACAGCACAATAATAGCATACTTAAATTCATTTAAAAGACACTTTCTGTATGGAAAAATAAGTACATTTTAAATTAATTTCAAATGTTATATAGTGCTTATTAATTGAAACCAACGTCCTTTGGTTTTCAATAATTTTTCATACATGCTTTATATTTGCAAGGAGTTTCAATTATTTTACGCATGTATTACAGAATCAATTGTCTCATTCAGAGCACCGCGCAATCTAATTAATTTCAACGCAGTCCATGTATAACAAGCAATGACATAACGCTGCAATGTAGTAACGTATTAATACCTTATAAAAATGTTCTCTGCCAGCGAGTATTTTTACCGCATAGATACTTGATAAACACGAATACTATTCAAATTCACAGTATCATTTAATTGCACTAGGCATTATTTACAATTTGTTCGATTCATAGAAAAAGATAAGATTATATATAATTTTAATAACCCGCTCGTTTCAATTCGTTCAACTGATGTGCTAGTTTTTCTTCTTTAGTTCTTCTCGCTTGGCCCAACTTCCTACATTCAATATAACTGCTAAGGAAACGTTCAACGTCAATTTTCCTGTTAAGAAAATCCTCGGCGATTCGTTCACTTTCTTCGTGACTCTCGTCGGCTGCTCTTTTTAAACACTCTTTTATGTGATCCGGAGTAAATGCTTCAGACAACTTGTTGTATCGTTGTATAAGTTGATCGTATCTAGCCTTTAGCGCAGTGACAGTCTGTACTTTATTTGCTACATCAGACTGCAACTCTCTAAGCTCGGGTTCCTTGGCTACATTGGCCTCTAAAGTACAAAAGGAATAGATGTATCAATAGAAGAAAAAGAAACGTAGATTTCTAAGAGAACTAAATAATTTTATCAGAAGTTATTTTACCGGCAGTTTTTTGGACCCAATCTATTGCATCGTCGATAGCCGTGTTAATGTCTTTTAAATCGGAATGTTTATCCAGGAATTCGTTCAATCGGTCGTCATCCTCGCTCAACCATTTCAATTCCTCGTTAGTCAAGTTATTCAATTCTGGAAACGCTATGCTCTGCTGCAGCTTGGTCTGTGCTTGATTCGGTAACGACTGCTGGTGGTAATTCGCATTCACGTAATGCGAATTCAAATACGTTCCATGCTGATTTGAATTGTATCTTGTCACATCTGTGTTGTGAAACGAACCACTCCTCGAACTTGCAACATAGGCTGGATGCTGTGATGGAGAGCCGAATTTTGTATGGCTTTCTGTCACGTACACAGTACTCGAATTTGTATGATTGTAATTATAAATACAAGTATTTGCACTGGCAGATGAATATTGTGGATATTGAGTGGTATAATAAGAATTGTATGACGTTGGTGAAATTTCTGGATATTGTTGCAGAGAGTAAGACGGGGAATTTCTCCCTTGAGAGTCTGCAATTTGCACACAATAAGAACATAGTAACAGATTCTTCGCTTTTATTTAGATTCATTTTTTTTTTTTAATTTAGATTTATCTCACAGTACATATCATGAGAATGTACGCACCTCTATGGGACTTTACAGATCCAGGAGAAACTTCTTCTAACAACTGTGGAGGATTTTTACTAAATTCCCTAATGATAGCTTGAACAACACGACCAAGATCACTGTGCACTGTAAACTGATAAGTAGACCAAATGATTTTTGTGATTCCAATTAAATCTTGTGAATCTAAAAAAAAAAGAGAAATCTTACATTAAGTAGCCCTGGTGCACTTGTGATTTCGCTGTGTTCGTTACACCAGGGATGGTTCACAGGCGGAGAAACCCTGAGCGCTGGTTTTTCCAACGGAAACTCCGGTGACAAAGAAACCATAATAGCCATTCTCCTTTCCCCGGCATCGAATTGTACTTGATATTCCACATCTTCTCTTAACTCTACTACACTGTAACGCGATAATAGTAATAGAGGAACAGTTGTGCAATAATTGGACAAATAGCACAAAGATACACATGAAACGCTCTTTTTCTTTTCTCTTTTTCCAAATTAAACAGTAAACTTTACGATTAATATAGAGAAGATAGACGACAATCATGTACAACTGCGAAATCAAGGCTAATTCGTATCGTTAACGCGATAAATCTTTCGTCTTGTTCGTCGCGTACGAGCCACGATGCATCATTCTACGTGAATGAAAAAAGTAACGCTGTTACACAGATAATTGCCGAATCAAATAAGTAGATGAGATGCAAGTAAGGTTAAGAAAGTGAGGTTACAAACGAGAATCCTCTTACTTGTCGTTGAAGATTTTCAAGGTGTCGATTTGCCGTTTTCTCTTGACTGCGACGTTCTCATTTTCGCCACGGAATATTCGCGATATCATTTAAGAGGGTGAAATCCAGATAAAACATTCGTTTTATCCTTCGACCTCCCTGTCAAATTAACCATCCAACAGCAGAACAGCTGTTTCAGTTGTCGTCGCACTTCACGGTGGAGGCCGAGATCCAGCGTTCACAATATTTCTTCCCTTTTACATTGTCGTTAAAAAAAAAAAGAACATCAGTCGTATTGCATTTTGAACAAAATAATCTTCACGCAAACAACAATTCAAATCGGATCAATGAAAACACGTTTATTTGATTACCTGGGCTAAAATTGATCGATCTCCCCCTTTGTGTGTAATGTACAAAGCCCGAAATCGAGGATCGCTTTATTAGCAACAATTGAAAAAAAAAAAAGAAAGGATGACTTTCTAGAAGGGGACGAACTGAATAAGATACGCGCATTTTGCAACAATGCATGCTATGCTAGACATACACTTCAACGTTGCGTAATTATCGTCAACGTTGAAATTTGCTGTCTTATCATTAATTATTTCAAATAACGTGTAACAAATAAGCGTGACCTTCGCGAAGTAACCAAGACGAATAGCGTAGTGCACGTAGTACAAATTTTAATTCTAAAGAAACGTGTATCATGTTTTGTGTGCTTGTGAAGAAGTAGGTATAATCTTTTTTCAATATTCTCCTGGAACAATATTTAAGAATTGAAAATTACGTCGATGGTATTCTATTTACTAATAAAATAAAATTAGTTTGGCATTTTGTTGACAGTTGCCGGTTTAACGAAGGAAGTGCAGTAAAATCGTTACATTGTCGTCTATCGAGAGCATGAGTTTCGGTCATAGCAATCATAGAGAATCAACAGGAACACATCGTGCGAAGAGGTTGCAATTACCACCAAATATGTATTAACTCTGTAGCATTGTCGTATGCGTTTCCTATGCAAGTAAGTAATACGTACTTGTGTTCGTGCGTCTCCAGCATTAGTTCGAGATCTCGATATCTCGAAGGTACACGCGAGCAATCTCATTGTCAATTTATTCTTGAGTTTCAGCGTTGATAATAAACGCACGATTAATAGGACTTATAGAATAATTTGATTTGATGATGAGATAGTAATTAAGGTTATTCGAGAAGTAATAATGATAAATTAATGATTATCCGACATTTTGCAACAAATATTAATTAATAGCGATTAATTAATAATAACTGATAGTTAATTAATAAATATTTATTATTAATTAAATAATCATAAATATTAATGGTTAATTAATAAATATTTATTATTAATTAAATAATCACGAATATTAATGATTAATCCAACACTTTGTAAAATGAAACAAACGAATTAATTATGCATGTAGCACGTCTCAACTTTAAACGGCCAAACTGCGAGTGTTTGAGCTATACGTAAAAAGAATAAAAATATGTTGCATGAAGTTTATCAGGAAACGTCTTGTTACAGAATTATAAACGTCTTGTTACAGAATTATAAACAAGTATGAAATAAATATCTACGCGTTTTTCTTTGTCATTTGTTTCTTACTTTATGGAGTACTTTAAAACAAAAGATTTGTTCAACAGACGAGGTATATGAATATACCATATCACGGAGGAAGTTACTGTCAAAAATTAAAAATGTTTTTAATTTCAATTTCATTGAAACTTCTAAGCAAAATTCTCAGGAACTTTATAATGTTATTAATTCCATTTTTCATCGGTATTAAGATTGATTAAAAGCTATTTTTTATTATAATTACAATTAATGTATTATTATAATTATAATGTATTATTATAATTAATGATATGAAAGGAGTTATATTTAACGACATCGTTTGTGTATTAATAAAAAGCTGTCTAATGAAAAATACGTTGCTAATGTATTTCATGTATACAATATTTGTTCATAACTCTATAACAAAGTCTTTAATATCGAATTTCATATATATTCTCGCTATTGTTGTGCCACCGACTAGGTATATGGATAGACATTGTATCTTACAGACTTTTGTGGCCTGCGACCTGAAATACCGACACATTAAAAAATCACTGGTTTTTTAGCGCACTCTAAAGAACGGTGAATTGGGGAACTAGTGAATGAACCAGCGATATGATTTTGAAATCCATTACAGTGTCAAACTTATTTTACTCTATATCAGAAAGAAGTCTATTACAGTGTTGTCAAAATCATTCTACTCTATATCAGAAAGAAGTCTATCCATGTTTTACGGACTTGTCACAA